TCCATCCATCCATCCATCCATCCATCCATCCCTCCATCCATCCATCCATCCATCCATCCATTTTCCATCACGCTTTATCCCAAGCGGGGTTGCGAGGGGTGCTGGTGCCTATCTCCAGCTGTCTACGGACGAGAGGCGGGGTACACCCTGGACAGGTCGCCAGTCCATCGCAGGGCCGCTACCAACACTTGTTTTTATAAAAGAAAACTTTACATGCATTAAGATTTTTGTACTTTTCTTTGATGAAGTTCTTCCTCTCTTAGGGTATTATATTTGAAAAAGTCATTTCATTACTTAAAGACATTATTTTGGCCATACTTACCTGTGTAATGATACAAAGTTCTGATATTTTATGAGGCGAGCAGAGCATTCAATATGAACATTCTGTCAAGTAAAAAGCCATTTTTTGTTGTTAAATTAAAGATCATACAGGTTTTATCTTAGAGGTGGATATGAGTTATGATTAAGGTAAATACTGAATTAGGTGTTTACCTATCAATAATCTTTTCGATTAGTCGTTTTATCTAAAAAGACATGTTTTTAGTATATTTCTACAAAACAAGCCAATAGACTATGGGAAAAAAAACTTTATTGTTCCCTTATAACCCTAACCCATTTAGATTTATTGCAAAACTCAAAACATAAATATATAAGAATATATATACATGTAATTATAAATGCAAACAACTTAATCTTTACTGGAAAATTTGTAGATATTCTATGTTCATAGTTAATATTTGTTGGCTTTTGTCCTTTTTACTGCTGTAAATAGTTTATTCTCTTAGACAATGGGCATGTTTTATAGTCTGTGTACTAGGCCTCCTGAATGATTCAAGTAACAAATTAGGTGATGATTGTTTCAATATTCAGTTAATCACAATTAATCTGATTAATTGTTTTAGCCCTATACTGAATGTTGTTTGTCCAACTTTAGACAGTGCACTTAGTGATCTCTAATACGACTGTGGCTATGTTATTGATCTTTACCAACTATCATTTTTTACTATCAACAAGGTCATTTGTTTCTGCAGAAATAGCATGAAAGATATGTAATCCAATAAAAGGATGATAGGAGAGTAGCAGTTAAAGATAGGCCAAAGGAGCTTATCTTGAATTTGTGCCAAAATATGACTACAGCTGTTAATGTCAATTATTCAAAAATAAATTTCCATTTAGAATTGAAGTGCTTTGTTCTAATGCTGTCAAACCAACAGTTGATCTATAATTCCTTACATCTTCCCATATTTTACTGAATTATGCGGCTTCAATTTGATCTTGAAGTCCGACTAAACAGGGTGTGAAAATAATTGGACTGCTTTAGGAAGTTAATTTCATTAAATCTGTTTACTATTATTTATCCATGAATCCTCCTTGAATAAGTTGCAACTGCTATTGTTTTGTCGTTCCTTTGGGTCTTTGGTCTGTCGGTGAATAACATGCATGCTGGTTAAACTCTCAGTCTTTGCTTTTTCATGGTGTTGCCAGTCTGCTGCTGTAACCATTGCTGAATCCTTCCTGCTCACAACCTTAAAGTTTTCAGTCGTAATTTCCTTTTTAGCTCTATCTTATCTAATCACTGATTTCTACAATAAGGAACTAATCTGATTTCTCTTGTAGTCGTTAACATCCTTTAGGATTTAGCTTGGATGTTTGCTTGAGGTTTTCGTGTTCTTGTGGCCTAACATTACCTTATCTTCTTCTGTGTTTATCATTAGTGCTGTTTTATGTGTGTTTCCTTGATTAACTAGTTTGGTTAATTATACTTAAATGGTAAAGCACTAAAGCATTCAGTTTTCTGAGTAAGTCATTTTTTTTTACCATTTACAGATATGGTTGTTTCAGAGTAAAAATTCTTTTTGGCGCTGTTTGTCCTGCTAATATTCAAAGCAGTGAAGATCTACATGTCAAACGTATATGAGCAAACAGAAAGTACATGCAAATTTAAAGGTTAAGACATCATTTCCACTCTTGACCTTCCTCTCATCTGCTCCATCTATATGCCCCCAGAAAGCCGGATTAGTGTGGCTTGCAGAATTTTGACATTTGGGGGACTTCAAAGGTTGAACTATGACTTCAACAGGAGGAGACTGGGGTCAGATAGAGACTAAGGTCCCTCTCCACATAATTAACCTGTATTTAATTTTTTTTTTTCCATTTAAACATCTGACCTCAGTCAGCAAAAAAACACAGGCTCTAGTGTAAAGTAGCAGGACGTTTTTCTAAATCATAGGCATACACTGACACGCACCCACATAAGCACAGTCAGTGCTGACAATGATGATGAACTTGTGAACAAATGTGTAATATTAACGCATATCAGGCCTTATGACTTGTGCAACAGAGTTGTAGTGAATATGTACAACCTCTGAGCCTGGCGATGTGTCTCCCTGATTACATAAAGCTGCAGTAGCTGTTTAACATAATTTTATAATCAATGCAAAATGTCAGGTTTCCTCGTCATTAATAACTCCCGGAAAAAGGCGTGCTGATTTTAAGTGTTTTCTGGCTCAAAAAGTGGATTTTATTTAAAAATCGCTAGTATTAAGCATAAATTACTTTACAATTATTTTCAGTAAAATCCAAGATAATCAATCACCTTAAGATGGTCAACTACTAAATGAATATAATTGGTAAATATGCAGTTCAATCTCAACGTAAAGATCATCATAATTCTTGAGAAGTTACAAGGGATTAGGGATGGGATGGTTTTTGGCTCGGCTCCCAAAGAAGAGCCGGCTCTTTTGGTTCCCAGATGGCCCTCTATTTGTTATCCATGTTGGCCAATATGATTGGTTCTAATGTTATTAAATCATTTTGCATTTATTGTTTGATTATAAGCCATATACTTGCCTAATTTTATCTATCTATCTATTTGTTTTTGTTTTTGTTTTACATTTTATTTCATCTTTGAACTTTTTTTTTTTTTTAAACACAAAAGCAAATAAAATAGAAGCAAACTCCACCTGGTAAAAAGGTGTATGATCTCATATTCTCAGATCTGATTAGCCACAAGTCAGTAATGCTGTCAGTCACAAACAAATGATGTGAACGGGACAGAACTACTGAGGGGAAAATTGAGCATTTAAAGCAAAAAAGTGGGAAGCCGGTTCTTCCTATCCAGTACAGCTCTCAGAGCTGATATTTTGTGGTGCACCTCCCAGAACACACCACTCCCAGGGTAAAACATGGCATTGACACTATCATGCTGCTGGGATACCTTTCTCAGCAGAGAGAGGGAAGATGGTCAGGTTACTGAGCTATTCTATAACTATTATAAACAAATCCTATATGTTGAACAGCAGTAAATGTGTAAACTCTTAAAAAAAACTGTATCAACTTCACATTTATGCTGTGTAGTTATTTACCATAAAATCCTCATAAAAATGAAAAATAAGACAGCACATGAAAAAAGTTGTATGGGGTAAGAACTTTTCTATATTTCTATTGACAAGTGGTGCTTGATGCGTTATAAGTTAAAATCTGTAATCATTTGGTCTATCAAAGGTTTCTGGACTCAACCAACATACTTTTGGATCAATTAATCTACAGCGTTGCAGTGTTTAGTTTAAAAAAAGCAATAAAATGACTTGAAGGAATAAACTACTTCTTAAAATAAACTTCCACAATTGAAATCCCCCTTTCTGCTTCTGTTTCTCTTTTTTTCTTTTTTTGTGTTTTGTGACACCTTTTAAATTGAAAGTTCTTTAGTTTGTGTATTGAGGAAAAAATCTGGATGTCTGCCAAGAGACCTAGTGCTCACGTACAGATCCTAAAATTCAAATACGGGTTTTGCATTCAGGCTAATTCTGCTCTACTTAGTATGATCTAATGAGTTTTTTTTTTCCGGAAGTTTGGGATCTAAATGTATATAGTGAAATATTGCTGGACTTGTTTGCCTTTGAGGTGCTTTTAGATGTGTTCTCTTCTCTTTCTGTTTTAAGTAAGTGTTACCTTGGCTCACCTATCTGCAGCCCAGCCTGCTTCTCCAAACAGGGAGCTCTTGATTTAGGAAAACCAACTACAGCAGTTAATTCTACTTTTAAATGCAGATATGTTTCAGAAAAGCAGGACATTTTTAAAACTTTCTCTACTACAATGGTTAGGAGGACGTTAAACATTATAGGATCTTAGCCAAATATTTTCCGAGACTATTAAACTGATCTCCCCCCCCAAAAAAAACAAAAAAACCCCAAAACATTGAACTAATTAGAT